CTTTGGTTTACTATTTTGCAAATCTCAAACAATTTTGTTGGGTCTGTCTCTAAGTATTTCAAGTATTTTTGCCTTACTGAAAATTTTTTCTTTAAAATTTTCCTAACTAATTGTTTATATCTAGTATATAAAAATATATCTAGTATATAAAAATGCAATTGATTTTTGTTGGCTTTCGATACAATATTGCTGAACTCTTATAATATCCACTGCTGTTTTTCTAGATGCCATAAAATTTTGACATAGATAATCTAGTCTATAAATAGAAATAGTTTTAGCCTTTATTTTTAATCTCCTATAATGCCACTTCATTCTTTTCCTTACAATATTGTACAGGATAGTTCCTCCACATGCTATTTTGGTAGGCAGCATGATGCCCCCACCCCCAAAAAAGATGCTCATACCCTAATTCCCAGAGCTTGTGAAAATGTTGCCTTAAGTAGCAAAAGGGACTTTGCAGGTGTGATTAAGAGTATGAACTTTGAGGTAAAGTGATTATTCTGGATTGTCCAACTGGACACAATCTAATCATGCTAGACTTTAAGATGACAGGAGTCATTCCATGCAGGGTTAACATGGCTGGGAGAAAGAAAAGAGAAGGCTTCTGGCTGCAATACAGGCTCAGCCGCTGTTGGTGACTTTGAACACGGTGAAAGGGACCATCAGTCAAGGGGTGTGGGTGGACTCAAGGAAGTGGAAACAGCCTTCAAGGACCGACAGCAAGACTCTGGGGACTTCAGTCCGACAACTGCAAGAAACTGAATTCTGCCAACAATCTGAATAGGCAGGAAATGGGTTCAGCTCTCAGGCTTCCAGTCAACAGGGTCCTGGATTTTCACTTCTGACCCACAGATAGATAAAATAATAAATAAAAGCAATCGTAAGACACAGAGTTTCTGATGATTTGTTGGCTCATTAATAGAAGACTAATATAGGTATTGAATAGAAACATTGATAGGAAACATCCTTGTTTTTATTCTCAATCAATCAATGTATTTTATTCAATCTTGGGGGAAAGTACTGTCTGTCACCATTAAGTATAATAGCTGTGGTTCTGTGCAGCTTGCCCTTCTCAGATTAAGGAAGCTTATATTTTTGTTTATTTGTTTTAATAAAGCACATTTGTTGGATTTTGTCAATGCTTTGTCTGCATCTATGGAGATAATATTTTTTCCACCCACAGCATATTGATATAGACAATTATATTGATCAGTTTGCAAATGTTACCTGAGCCTTGTATTTCTGTTGATAAGCACCATTTAATCATGATTTCTTATGCTTTTTTTTTATAATGCTACATTTAATTTCCTTACTATTTTAGGGCTATTGATCCACACGTTTTTGTTTCTGTGGACTATCTTTGTCTAGTTCTGATATCAGAATAATGCTGGGCTAATAAAATAAACTTGTACATTTTCTCTATCCTGTGTTTTTGGACGAGGTTATGTGGAACTGGTATTGGTGCTATCTCTTCCTCAGGTGTTGACAGAATTTGCCAGTAAAGATACTTGGATTCAGTGATAATAGTTTAAACTAAAATTTTAATATATTTTATATATATATATATAATACTATTCAGGTAATATATATCTTCTTGAATGAGCTTTGATACTTTGCATTATTCAATAAATCTATTTGTTTAGTCTATGACATTGTACACTGTATGTGTCTTTATTAATATTGCTCTGCTCTCCTTTTAATATCTGCAGATTCTCTCGTGATGTCATTTTCTTATTTCTGATATTAGTAATTTATGTCCTCTCTCTTTTTTTCTGATCAGTCTGGCTAAAAGTTTCATCAGTTTCACTGATCTTTTTGAAACAATCACCTTAAATCCCATTGATTTTTCTTTTTTTCTGTTTTTAATTCCATTGAACACTACTATTAAGTTTCTCATTTCCTTTTTTTATGATTAAGTTTAATTTTCTTGTCCTCTGTAATTTATTCCTGTGTAAGTTTTAGCAATTAGTTTGAAACATCTGTTATTTTTCATAAGCATTTAAAGAAAATTTCCTTCAAAGAATTGTTTTATCTACATCATATAAGTTTGTATGCAATGCATTTTAATTTCAATTAATTTTAATTTATATTCCAATTCTCTATGTGACTGACTCTTTGATTCATGAATTATTTAGAAGTGTACTGTTTATTTCTCAAATTTTGGAGAGCTGTCTAGTTATCTAATATTGATTTCTAGTTTATTTTATTGTAGTCAGTGAAAACATTGTGCACAGCTTCAACTATTTTAAGTATTTTGAAGTTGATCTTTTTTTTTTTTGAGACAGCAAATCAGTTTTCTCAATGCTATTTGATGCACAATCTATTTCTCTAATAGTTTTAAATGTCAGCATTACAATATGTACTAATCTCACACATTTTTGAACCAAATATTTGCAGTGTTTATTGCATCTCCATGGAAAATACATTTAATTTGTATCATAGGTTTTTGCATGTGAACTTTATTCCAAAGAAAACCCATTATGGGCATAAAACCAGGAGTGATTCTCAGGACACATTTACTTTTCAATATCATTTTGTATAAAGTTGTAGATTTTTTTCAGGGATTTGGCATATCTTTGTAAATAACTATTTTTAGCCAAGTTCACTTTTGTAACATATTATTGGCTATTCTAGACTCTTTCATGAAATATGAGTTCAAAATCTTTTACATAAGTAAAGAAGGTCATTGTTTTCATTCTGGGCTTGACTTGCAGAATTGTGGATGTCAAGATCATGAAGATACCGTTGATTTAAGACTGCACATGTTAGTAGGGTTTGTGCAAGACTCAGAAAGAATGTTCAAGTCATACTCTCAGATCCAAGGACAAAGGTGAAGACTTTTTCAAAAATTTCTAATCATTTATTTTTTAAAGCACTTGACAAGGGTAGTCAGTGATGCACAAAAAAAAAAAAAAACGGAGAATCCTTCTGCCTGCCCTAGGGGAACAGCAGCGGGAAGAGACAGGCGTGCAAGTCACAGAGACGGTGACATGGAGTGAATGGAAGGGAGCCCGTATGTGCTTCGTTACCCAGGCTCTCTGTATCTATATCCATATCTGTCTATATTTACACACAAAGGTAAAAAGCAACCTTTTGAAATAATCCTCGCTGCGAAAGACTGAGAAAAAAGAATGAGAAAAAGCTTCCCAGAGAAAGTGCTTTCAAGTTCATAGTAGCTCAAGGGGCCTTAGAGAATCTACCTTAAGAGAGAAATCCAAGCTCCTGACAGAATGAGGAAAGGAGGCTGTGGACTAAAAATCAGTTTATTGTAAACTGAAGCACTTCTTCTAGGGCATAAGTGCATGAAAGGAAGGAGGCATTGCACAGACAGACGTGTCCCTTTCATAGCGCTTTTTTTTTTCTTAAATAGAGGATACATTTAAGGAAGTGGATAATAGGAAGTGAACAAAAACAGATCATAGGTCCGTGCAAGCCACTTCTTAGTAAAAGATCTCTCAGTAATGAATAGGTCCTTAGGGCTCTTCTCTGGAAAACTGCATTTTTTATTTTTGGGGGCAGTATTTCCTATACATGTACACAGACACATCAACACAATTGCTATTTTTTGAATCAAGAAAGCATCTTTGCCCCTAGATGACATTTCATATTGAGAGTGCCTTCCAGGGTATTTGTTCATTGATGATCGAGATCCCATATTTATGGAAGAAATATTTTCTTTTTTCCTTTTTTTTCCTTACCTACCTCAAGGCACAGCTATCTTACATCTTTGCAAAGTGCCCAGGGCAGAGTACTCTGGTGCTATCTGTTAATACCAGAAGGTTCTACATTACATATTTTATGTTAAGATGCAAAACAGTGTCACCTAGGGGCCTCAGATCTTTGAGGAAAAATGATATTTTTGTAATGAGTTTGTGCCTTTCCTTCATCCAGTCCCTTTTCCGCACACGGAGGGATATGAGTTTTTGGACGCTTCCTCCTGAGTCATGTGATGAGGAATTTTCCATAAAGGATTTATTAGATGTAGTGAAAGTGAAACATGCATGAATTAAGTGGCCAGAAAGCAGCAAGCCAGGGTAGTGAGTGTCTTAGGTTTATGGTTAATATTTAAATCTCTTCCAGATAACATGGGTCCATCTCACCTGATATGCTGACCTAAATAGAAGCCTTGGAGGTTAGCCTCCAAATTGGTTTTACCTCTTCTTAGGGTCCCTCTTCTTTCGGAGAAGCAACAAAGGAAGAAAGAACACTGCTGTTTTTACACAAAGCAGGCATCTACCAACACCTGGATAGTCACAATTTCGCTATTCTGTTCTAAATATAATAGCACCTGTGCAAAAATCTCTATATGTATATTATTGGGTAGGGGGACACGGAAGGAAACCACAAATGACAGCTAGTTCCGACTGTCAATCTGCACGTTTAATGAGAAAGTCTGCCTGATTTAATGAATCCTGGTCCTTCATGCTGGCATCATTTTCAACAGAACTTGCGTCTTAACACCTCGGTGGTGTCAGTTTTCAGCCCCGTTACGGCAGCTCGATGTGCCGTAATGGAAGCGTTTGCCTTGTGAACTATTAAGCCTATATAAGCAATCACGACTCATTTACTGAGATGGAGAGGGCAGGGCGAGGCGTGTGTGTGTGTGTGTGTGTGTGTGTGTGTGTGTGTGAGTGCTCACGAGCACATAGAGGAAGGGGATGGGGGAGGACATGTGAATGACTGAGCAGCCCAAAACTCAAATGTTTAATTGCACCGGTCAAGTCCTGTGAGCCTTATCACAAGGAACGAAACAACAAGAAGGGAAAAAATAGCATTTTCTGTCACAAGCGCCGAGCAAAACCACACCTAACTGGGTCGCAGTGACAGAGAGACCAGCAGGCCTGCGGCCACCAGGTGCCCACCTTTGCAGCGGCCTCTGGACTGATGCGGCTGGTTCTGGGCCCCGGCCCTGGTCCTGCCTTTGTCTAAAATGCCTCTCCCCCTTTCCCCCTCTGCTGCAGACGGAAAGCTGGAAGGCAGGGTGAAGCCCTTTCTCTTACCTCCGGGATCTGGTGGGATTTCGGCTCCAACCTACTGTGCACGCCTGCCCTCTGCACGGCTGCTCCTCGGGGCTGCGCACCACCCAGGCGCACGTGAGATGCCAGAGGCGGCTGTCTTTCATCTCAACTGCTACTCAGGAGAGGGAAAGAACCGTTCCCAGCCCTCGGGTGGCCCGCGCTCCGTGTCAAGGTCAGCAGAGAGAGGCTCCCCACCCTGCCGCCCACCCCTGCCCTCCCCTTCGCGCCCACCTGCCGCTCGTTTTCCGTCTGTCCTTTAAGGATGAGAGAGCCCGGCGCTTTCTCTGTGGTGGTCCCAAGACCTCTGCCTGGTGCTAAGAGATTGGAGGTGAAAGAACGCGAGCCATGTCAACGCGGTGGAAACAGGGAGAGGAACAAATAGCTCAGGTTAAGGCGACTCCAGAGGCTGGCGACTCTGATGACCAGCTGCCGTCAAGGTCACACAGCGGAGAAGTGCAGATAGGGGACGGGAAACTCAGGGAAGCGGGCAGCCCCCTGCAGATGCAGACCTTCCCGCTGGACTCCCGTGTCCCCTCACCCAGCCTGCTGCCAGGCCTGTGACAATGCTGCCACCTGCTGTTGTGCCCGGTGGGAGGCGGCTACACCTTCCCTGGGCTGGAGCCCTAGGAGGGGGGAGGGGGAGGGGGAGGAGGGCGGGGAGGGGGAGGGGGAGGGGGAGGAGGGGGAGGAGGAGGAGGGAGAGGGGGAGGAGGGCGGGGAGGGGGAGGGTGGGGAGGGGGAGGGGGGAGGGGGAGGGGGAGGAGGAGGAGGGCAGGGAGGGGGGAGGGGGAGGGGGAGGGGGAGGAGGGAGAGGGGGAGGGGGGAGGGGGAGGGGGGCGGGGAGGGGGGAGGGGGAGGAGGGAGACGAGCCCCGGGAGGAGGGAGAACAAATTGCACTTTCCCACTTCTTTACCGGAATCTGATATTTTGTATTAGGTGGCAGGTTTTGATTTTAAAAGATATGTCAAAATATCATGAATTCCGGGAAATTACACCAGGTTTTGGTCTCTGATTATAATGTAGCCTCTATAATCCTCTATCTGTAAAATGTGTCACCTCCTCATGCCCACACACTTTTACACACAGCTCGTCAAGTATTTTAACTAAAAGCCACAAAGTCTAACAGGATGAGGACCGCTTTCAAGGCACTCAGCTGGAAACAGGCTCCTCTGCATTGTTGTCACAGCACATGAGCAGCTTACTGAGGACAGAGGAGCCTGAGAGGCTATAGTCCGTGAGGTCACAAAAGAGTTGGACACGACTTAGTGACTAAACGCGTCCTTAGGAAATTTGTCACTGATCCCATTGCCTTAAAATGCAGTGGTACTTGGCCAGCAAAAATGAACTTGCGTCCAACTCAGCTCATAGGCAGGCATCTGAAAAGATGGCCGAGGCAAAGTTGCTTGGAGGAAAAATATGATACCTTCTTGTAAGGCATCCTAAATGTTTTGTTTCATATAAACACGGGCTCCCATGGCATTGCACTTCCATAAGTAAATCAGGTGTTTCTTTGTTCCCTGATGTCAGCAGATATCAATTCCTCATTGATATTTACTTTATTCCCAGGGATCATACTTCAAACAGCTATCCTCTGTAATAGAGCATGGAGCGAAGCGATGGAAAGGGAAAATGATACTGATCACCCCTTTGGGCAACAGCAATTCACTCTGATCCCTGACCTGTCTGCTGAGATTTGCTCTATCAGATCTAACGTGTTAAGGTTCCAGCTCCTCAGATAATTCACATTCCAACATGTGCTATGATTTACATGTCATGTATTTATTTCTGAGTTGGTTGTTTGCAATGTAAATATATAATATTCATTCATTGTAACTTCAGATCGTTTTTTCTAAGAATAGATTTTTCAACAGCGTTATCACTTTCTGAGTCACAGAGCAAATCAGTTGTTTCCCAATGTTGTCTAACCAAATTGTTTCCTTTATTTCTTTTCAGTTTCTCCTAAATTTTTGCACTGACTTTGATTGCTTTCCAGATATCTTTTTTCTGAGTTTTTCTGCTAACATTCCTGTTGCGAATTCCCCCAAAGCGCTAAGCAAGAAAGACAAAACGCTATTCACTATTATCTATGGTTCTTTTCATCCTCTCTCATAAATCAGTCCTTTCAGCCACTTTATCACTGTTGCGTCTCTTTGTAGTTTTGAGTTTGTCAACATCATTTTGATAATGAGGCGCCCCGACTCACATGGGTCTATCCAGATAGACACCACGTCAGGATCTCACAACTTCACAACACGGGAACACCAGGTAGGGATTCACAGCCACACACACACGCGCATACACACACACACACACACACACACACACACCTGCACCCATTCCAGCAGTCCAATCAATTTAAAGACCTGTCTTGTCTTAACTCTCAGTACAGACAGAGGCCTCTACATTGCAGCCTGGTGCCAGAGGGCTTATTCATAAACCCTGCTTGACTGGGAAATCAAAGAGAGGTGAGCAGAGTTCAGATTTTCTCATGCTGAGGTATGAGGCTTGCCAAGAGACAAGACTGGACTAATAAGGTCTGGAACTGGCTTTATCTAGTTAATAGCAGCCTTTGACATCACAGGACAAGATGCCATCTCCCTGTGTTTATGTCCTTAGGACTTGCCACAGGGAATGCGGACATTCTTCTGTGCACAGCGTGTCGAGTGAAAATGCAGAGTGAACGTCAGGAATTATGTCCCTGTTCCCTGCACAGCAGTTGCAGGAGGAGGTTAACTGATGATTATGACAAGTCATGGATGGTTTTCCCCGCTTTGCCGTCTACCTTTGTTTCTGGTTTCTCACCTGCTCCAGAAGCCCCAAATTGTCCTTCAGAGTCTGGTCTTCTTCCTAAGATGCGTGCATCCTGCGTGGCATTACCGGGTCTCCTGAACAAGGCTTCAGAGACCTCTAAGGAAGAATCGCTGTCATTGGTATCACCTAGACAGCACAGAAACCTCTGAGCTGACTTATAACCCCCTGAACAAGCAGATAAGCAAACCCAACTCCCCCTTCGAAGACTTCTGATGCATATTTTTTTAAATGGTAATTTTAATTTAATTGGAATGTATTTGAGTCATCATGTGCATTCATAATTTGGAATTAAAAAATACGATGAAAAATAATTTAATCCGGGGTGTCCCTTCTTTCTATTAAAAAGCTTTATGTATGTTCAATATTCATAGAATGCCACCTAGACATTAAACTTCTATGATTTCAAACATATGTCCCAGGGTAGCATTTGCTATTTCTTCTAGAGAGGATTTTTGGGTTTATAGAAAGATGCATTTCCTCTGATTGAAGGGCTGAATTAAATTTTAATGCTTCTGAAAGTGAGTTTTTACTCCTTGCCACAGAGGTTTTGTTGGTTATAAGCTCAGGCTTTGGGGTGGTCTCTTAGTTGCAGGAGAGAAAGGCCGCTGTTCTAACGTTTCAGGTGTGCTGACCAAGCCCCAACGTGCAAGCAAGTGGCCGGTGCTGTGGCTTTAAAATCTCCCAGCTGAGTGTTCTGCAGGCTCAACCTTGGTCCACATTTTTAGCCAGTGCTGTGAAGTAAGCCAGCAGAGTTAGGATGACTCCTGCTTCCACCCTGGTGGAGGGCAGAGGAGACTGGGGTTCAGGGAACAGCTGCACCTCACTGCAGAGGGGGACCCAGGCACATCCCTGCCCCTGCGACACCCAGCCTGGTGCCAGCTGGGGACTTCTGGTTTCTGTTGGCATCCTTCTGTGTCGAAACAGGAAAACTGTGGTTCGAATGTGAACCTAATGGGCACCTAGGCCAGAAATCTGTTAATAGTAAGCCTCCAAGAAAGTCTTCCTTTCATTGGACACTTCCCAGATGGACGGAGAATGACAATGCCCTGGAGTAACAGTGGGCTTAACTGCATTCAGTCAGCATTTATTTTGTGACCCCCTGTCTGAGTATAAAAATCGGTAAGTTACCATCCCTAAATTAGACATTCTTACATTCTGATAGAGAGAGGAGGGACAGTAGGTTCACAAATAGCAATGAAGGGATAAATATGAGACCCAAAACCTGACTAAAATTATTATTCAAGAACACTTTATTTTTTTTTTCCTTTTTAAAAGTGTATTTATTTTTAATTGGGGGATAGTTGCTTTACAATACTGTGTTGGTTTCTGCCATGCAGCATCATGAATCATAAGTACACATATGTCCCCTTCCTCTTAAACCTCCCTCCCACCTCCCACCCCATCCAATCCTTCTAGGCGGTCATCGAGCCCCGGGTTGCGCTCCCTGATTCATACGGCAATTCCCAAGAACACGTTTAAATGTGTTTTTAACACGTATTTATACTTTTATGGGCTTCCCTGATAGCTCAGTTGGTAAAGAATCTGCCTGCAACGCGGGAGACCTGGGTTCAATCCTTGGGTTGGGGAAATCCCCTGGAAAAGGGAAAGGTTACTTAGCCACTCCAGTATTCTGGCCTGGAGAATTCCACGGACTGTATAATGCATGGGGCCGCAGAGAGTTGAACACTGCTGAGGGGCTGTCACTTGAACTCATATATACATTCATTTATTCTCCCTGTATTTGTGCTTCTGCTATGTATAAGACCTAGTTCTAGGATTAGAGACACAGGTACGCTCAGGCACAATCCCTGCTCCTGTTCCGCAGTCACCAGTGTGTGACAATAAACACTCATCTCATGTAAAAATTCTGGCAACAAACCTGGTACCATCACCCCCTATTCCATACGAGAGTAAGGAGGGCAACCTTGGACAGGTGATCAGCTCTCAGCCACACTGAGGAGTCGGTGATTAAGATTTGGCAACAGAACTCTGACGTCAGGGTTCAGACTCTGGCTTCAAAACTCGATAGCTGTGTGACCCTGGACAAGTTGCTCAACCTCTCTGTTGGAGTTTCCTCATGCTGCCGAGGTCTATAGTGATATTCAAGCAAGTTAATCCTTTTCTAGATCTACCTGGATAGATCTGGCATATAAGAAAGTTCTTTAAAATCTTTGTGGGCTGTTAACATTAAAAGTATATATGTTTTTCAATGGCTTCAAGGCTTGATCACTGGTTGGTTTAGTGGAAGTAACTTGCCTTCCTTCTAACTTTCCTTTCTCCTTCCTGCCCTTCT